GCGAGCATCCGCCTCATACTTTGCTCCACGGGATGCATTTGTGCGTGCGTGCATGTATGTTGGTTTGTGTCTATGTTTAGGGTGTTTGTGTATCCTTTCTCCAGCAGGACCCCCAGATCAAAACCGCAACCCACTCTCCCTCCCCATGCCTCGCTCTTTCTCTCTTTCTCCATCTCTCCACCCCCTCTCTCATTAAAAACTGCAGGCCCTGGTTTCTAATTAAATCCCACTTGAAAAGTCTTAAAGTCAGCCTCAGATTGATTCAATTTGCATTTCTGAACAGAGAACATTGCCTAAAAGGATTAATAAATTGGACGAAAAAATGCCTTCTTTCTGCTCTGTGCCGTCAGAGCTTGTAAGACAACATCCAAAGAGAAATATCCCTCCCCCCTCAACAAGCGTCGATCCAACATATGCTCTTGCTCTTTCTCTTGCATGTCCCTCCCAGGATGCTAGAAGAGATTGGGATGTGCATATTATAACTGTGTGTGCACACATGCATGTCCTCGTCCGTGGAAAACGACGAGAGCAGGATCCCCTCCGAGGCTCAGTTGCAAAGGAACACACACAGCGTGCTGCTCACAGTGTCCGTGAGTGTCTAAGCGTTTGTGTGAAAGAAGGGTGACTTTGTTGTGTCGTGCCAAAGTGCTGAAAGTGACAAGAAGGCACAGTACGGGGAAGATCTTCGCCGCTCTGTCTGTAAGTGCAGAAACAGGCTGCGAGGATGGAGCCGTGCCTTTGGCTGGTGGACACCTTCAGCAAGATGTCTGTAAATCCAAAACATTTTGCCAGCTATGAAAGCCAAATTTGTTTAGTGTGATAACTGGAAAAGAGCATGAAAGAGATTCTATGCAGATAAAACACTAACTCTTTTCAGAGAGTCAGTGAAGAAAGAATTTTATGGCACCCAATCAGTTAATAAAATATCTGACAAGAGTATTGACAATTCATCTATGCGGCATGTTTTATTTTATGGTTTTAAAATATTTTACCCAAATAAAACTCCTGAAAAGTGTAGTTTGTTAATGGTTTTTTGGGGGTTTGTTTGTTTTTCTTTTATACAGACCCATTTTTTTCCTTCATTTCCTCATATGTTTAGGCCCTATCCTAATAAACTGAAATTCACATGCATTTTTAAAAGCATGCAAAATGTGTGTGTGTACAATTCAAAAGAAGAAACCTGTCGAAATGACAAAAATCACACAGGGAACATAAAACACTAGCATTCGTTCAAAGTGCTATTCACAGGTCCACTATCTTCAGTTTCACTGAGCTTAAGCTACTTTGTAAAAATAAATGGACCAAACATTTAGTCTCTAGATATTTAAAGATTCCAAAAAAAGACTTGCAAATGTAACTTTTGAAAACTGTGGTTCTACAAATTATTTAATTAGACCGATGACAAACAAATGCAAGCATTTTCTGAAATTCCTATTTTTTCAACCAAAACCTTTTATAATTTTTCTTAAACTAAACACTTTTTGTATAGTTTGAATCATGATTACATAAAAAATTAGAAAATGTGCAAAAAAGGTGTGGATATAGATTTGCAAGACCATGTAAGGACTGTCTGTGTGCCTCGTCAGTGTATTGCAGCTCTATTGCAAATGCTTTACATGAAACTGGAGCAAAAACATTCTAACCAAAGCTGTCTATGAGACATTTACATCTGTAAATCAAAAGGTACTGGATGGATGGATGGATGGATGGATGGATGGATGGATGGATGGATGGATGGATGGATGGATGGATGGATGGATGGATGGATGGATAAAAACTGTCTGAAATAATAAATAATAAATAAATAAATTAACTAAACATGTGTGTGTGTGTGTGTTTTTTAATATGGATACAAACTTGTAATACTTTTCTATAATTTCTGGTAAATACACTTTGAAAGCTGTTTTTTTTTGCCTCACTAGAAATAAGAAATTTCCCCAAATTGCACTAACATTAGAGTGTGTGCTATACCTAAATAAAGTGATTTTTATAAAGAGCAGGCGTATACGTTTAAAACACTGCCAGTGTCATGTCTGACGCAAGCTAAATTGCATAATAACTTTAAAACTTCCAGCTGTTTTTCTAATACAGAAATCGGAACTCATACTTGCAGTCACAAAATTAGAGGCTCCACTCTGATCTGATCCAGGACTGTAGCTTCACATTATAAAGGGCAAATGAAAACTTCTCCAGCCTAAATGCACATTCAAAATCAAGCAAAATGTAGAAGTGTTAATAATGACAGACCATTATGATAAACTGGAGATGCATGAAGTGCATTGTGGTCAGATTGAGAGGCCTCATGATGAGAGGAAACTTAAGTGCCAGGATCATTTAGCCTTGCTTTATAAAAAGACAACACTGACCCCTAGTGTATATTTTTTTATGGAAAGAAACAGTTTTGATTTGGAGGATCTTTGTTTATGCAACAGCTTACACAGTAATGTGTTATCAACACCAAAATATTCCTTAATTCCAGTGCGTTTAGTCGTTGGTTGTTGATTGTTTTTTGTTTGACTTTTTGCATATTTGTTCCTATAAAAATATATGTATTTGAAAACTTTATTATTGTACATGTGTGCCTGTAATTTTTCTTCACAAATAAGAGTCTTACAATAAGAAACATGGATTCCAGTAACAGGGCAAGGCCATGAGGTTTGCGTGTGACTGTTTCTGACCATGTTCTAATATTGGCACCCGGTGAATTGGAGCTTCCTTTGATGCGATGAAGGCTGACAAGCGTGAAACAGGTCCAAGCAGGCACGTGGGTGCTGCCAATTAACCCTTTTCACCGTGTGAAACCAAACATAATTGCCTGTGTGTGCAGGGGGCCAACAGGCCATGGCCTGCCCAGCGTAGGCTGAAATGGGCATTAGCTGTGCTGCCAGGTGACCATTACACACAATTGAACTGCTGGGTGTCTCTCTAAATCACATAGTTACAGTTGCTATCCTCACATAATTGGCATGATATTACCAAATGGAGCGTACTTTTAATTTTCACACATTTGCAGTTTATCTTGAACATATTTTTAGATGATTTGGATTTGCAGAGCGTTGCATTTATTACTGTATTATAAGGTCATATTCCTTTAAAGCTTTGTATGGTTTCCCAGAGTGATACTTTAAATGTCTTTGTCCTCATAGTAGGTGTGTTCTCAAAGTAACTGTACAGACATTACTAACCCTGCTTTGTGTGTAAATGATCATATTTTTCTTCATATTAAGCTCAAGCACAATGTCCTACATTTTTAATTTAAAACGCAAAAATAGAGCACAGTTTAAACTGAAATAGAGTGGGTGTCTGCACTGCTGTAAGCACAAATTTCACCCTTTTAATATTATGGTCTAATCATTTAATAAGCAAATGTATAAAACAATGCTGTAATACTTTGTTTAAAAGGAAAAATATACAGTAAATGTTGATGTTTTACAGCATGCGTTACAAAAAGGTTTCATACTGGATGGAAACAACAGAAAGAAATGTATGAGGAGAGGCAGTGTTTCATGTATCATAAATAACACACTGTTTGTCATAATAGGAAATTGCATTGCTTGCTTTGCCAAACCGTAACATTTGAACTATTATGAAGATTGATTATTAAGTATTTAGAATAAATGTTTTATTTTTAGGAGTTGGAGTTTTCACAGAAGAAAGCATGAATAACGTTGCTGTGTCATATTAACCATCAATGATTCAAACTCGTGAAATCAAAGGATTAAGGCTACGAGTAATATACAAGTACACAAGGAAATAAATAAGTTCTAAAATATCAGCACCTGAAAGGAACATTAAGAGATACAATCATTATTATTAAAAAGTAATTGGAGCCGTGTGCTTACATACCACAGGTCAAAATGTGCTATATTGTAAAGTGGAAGGAAAATGACAAAATGCTTCAATATGTTTTTATAAAAAAAATAAATAAATAAATAAATAAAAAAATAGCATTTAGTTTTGTGCCCTTTGGAGACATTTAACTCAGATTAATTGGACATTTTTTGTAATAAAACAGTTCTAAAATCTTGATACAGGCTATCGGTAGGTTTAGGTCTAAACTTTAACCTTTTATCTTGACTAATCCATTTTAGCTGTGGCTGTTTTTAACCCCATTCCCTGTTTGGAGTCATTTGCAGCCTTAACATTTTTTTTTTTCCAGAACTGTCATTTTGGGACAACTTTATTACTGGCCAGTTTTTTACCCCTAGTCTTTATGATGATGTTTATTTACTAGTGTCCACTTACAAACCTCTGATGCCCCACTAAACATCTCTATTTCTCCTGAGATTAAGTTGCACACAGGTGGGTTCTATTTAGTAGGTCCCTTTGAAGGCGGTAGGTTACCCCAGATTTTAATTAGGCATTTTAGAATAAGAGGTGAAACTTATGGTGCTAACTATGAGTAAAGTGCTATGCATCATTTAAAACACCTTGTAAACCCTTAGCAAAAGTAGTTTATTATTTATACTAAAAGTGCACTCATTTCATACTTAAAATAAGGCAGTGCACTTAGAGTTTACTTATTCTAAACTATATTTCATATACTTAACAGTATTGTTTGCTTTATTGTTTACTAAAGTATACTTTAAGTATACTTTACTAAACTTAAAAATGTCCCAATTTAGTTCGAAGAAGTATTACTTTAGTAATACTTCAAGTACACTAAAAGTACAGTGTTCGGTATACTTTCTAAACTTATACTTAAGTATTCTTAATAGAATTTACTTCAAGTATACTACTTTTTGCTAAGGGAATGCATGGATATGAGCTTGCAATGATGCAAAAACAGTAAAGTTCAAGAGTTATTTTACAAGGCACTATATCTTTTACACAAAACACAACTAAAAAAACATTACTTTTTACACCATAAATGTTATATGAATCCGTATAATGTCACATCAACATTAGTTAATTGAAAACTATGGAATTACATTGTTATTCAAGTCCTTAAGGTTGTAATAACAACCAGAGGCCGCCAGAGGGCGCTGTTTTGCACTTCATGTACATGTCTCCGTCCGCTTGTTTGTCTGCCTGTCCAAGTAGAAATGCTGGCAAAATACCCCCTCCTCATCTAGTTGAAAAAAAATGGCGGACAAGCGCTAAAAATCTACGTTTGAAAACCATTCTCACGTTTCAAAGCAAGGTAAACTTCCTCAGAGTAATTGATGTGCGTCCCGCTTCAGGTTCCGCTTAGCTCTGGTCCCGATTACCGTTGGATGAAGTCGGCGGTCCCGCTGGGCTCCTATTTAGCTAATGCTAATATTTGCAATAGGGCCAGAGAGCTAGCATGCTAGGACTGTTTTTCCTGGCAGTGGGCATGTCTGTGTGCATGTGCTTAGCGTATCCTGTAGGATGCGCGTCCACCAACTGCATGCATGTTTTTCATTCGCTGTTGTTTTTTTTAATAAGAACAGTACCGTAATTGTAAGAACGAGCTCTCAGCATATATTTTTGCCGCTAAATAAAAAAATAAGATTTAAAATTAGCTCATAAAACGAAGGGGGAGGTTTCCATGTGTTTGGCTTTGTGTTCTGAGCATATCTGGATACATGTGTGGGAATGAAAGCTGTGACAGCAGCGTTATATCTGCCATAAAGAAGCGGAGCGGACGGAGAAACGCAGTAGAAAGAAGCTCAGGGTTAGACTGAAGGTAGAGGAGTGAGAGTCTGCTGCGGAGGACCGATTCTGATCTTCCTGTCGCTTCCAGGGAGCGGGTCGCTTTAAGTCGGACGCCATCCCCCTTCGAGGTGGAAAAAAGGCGCACTTCTATTGAAACGGGAAGCGAAGCGCAGACCAACGGTTATGAAGTTTTAAGGTAAGACTGTTTATATGATCTGATTCAAGACACCACATCGGTTCCTTTGTCAGAAAATCTCAGAGATTACATTTTCTACAAGCTAATTGATAGATTTAGGAGATAAAAAGCTGGTATTACTTTGATTATTTTATTGCATTTTAATATTTTTATACCCACGTATTAACTTTAGCAGCCGACGACTCTATTATATGTACTTTTACCTTTTATATATATAATAGATACAACACCACTTACACGCACTTCTCGACTATAGCTGTATATAATCTGCCATTATGTATATATATATCTCCTAACTTTCCTGTATAATTTGTATGTATTTTTCATATTTATTTGTCTTATAGCCTCTTACAATTACTCTTTTTACATATACCATTAATAGTCAATACATACATGGTCTCTGTACACATGTAAATAAATATTTATACCCTGTATAGAACTTCTGGATAGATGCAAACTCCATTTCCTTGCTTTGTACTTGTGACAGTGTAATGATAATAAAGTTGAATTCTATTCTATTTTATTTCTGATACATTGGCACATTGGATGTTTAATGCATTACTGAGGTTACAGAAGGCTTCAAGATTTCTTATAAACCTCTTGACCTGTCTCTAAGGTGAAGGTTTGCTGGATTCAAAACCAGATGCCCTGGCTTCCAGAAATGAAAAGAACTGATGCTTCATTTACAGATGCAGTAATGATATTATTTAAAGTTGCCGTTACATTTAAAAAGTGTTTAATTAATAATTATTGGTCATTTTATCAGGTTATTTGCCACTAAAAGTGATCTTATACTAATTTCTATAAATGGAAATGTTTAAATGATGATATAGTTGTCATTCTTATAATGTTTCTTTGCTTTTAGTTGGTTTCTGGGTTAAAGCAGCTGAGTGTTGTTTTTGTTACAGTGATGCCTGAAACAGAAACAACTTCTATTTGCTTTTTTTTTGTTTCATAACTTTAATTTAGTTTATTTATTTTTTATTTAAAGTACCACTTTAGATGATTTGGGTTGTGCTTTATTGTTTTGTCTGTACAGAGGAGAGCACTGCTGTGTTGTTAGCTGGTCTGAATTGTTGGAGCATGAGGAAACCTGTGCCACAAAAAGGTAGGAGTCTGATAACTAAGCTGCAGCATTTCTTCTTTCATGCTGATGCATTTTCAGTAGAATTTTGTTATATATTTTAGATAAAGAAACAGAATGTTAAAAGTAATCCTTCAGTAAGTAAATAGCTTGTTTTGCAATCATTGCTTTGCAGCGATAGAATGGAAAGATGCCCGAATCATCAAGCATGCTCGGAGTGGACGGCCCTCTCGGGTGCCTTCACAGTACCAAGGTACTAATAACCTGTTCTATAAATATTTATACAAATGAATGTTATTTTAACTAGAAGCTTTAGTGTTTTTATATTGTGTTTATTTTTGTTTGATGCACAGTAGATTTACTCTTATATTTGCATTTTGTTCTGCAGCAGGGCACTTCAGCTGGGAGAAATACTTGAAAGAAACAGGTGCTACCGCTGCTCCATCTTCATGTTTCAAACAGGTGACCTAATTTAGCAACTTTATAGTAATATTTGTACTTTTTCTGAAAAGTTTCGATGCTTCTGAACTTACTTGTCCGTTACCACCATGCAGAGTCTAACACCTCCAGTTAATGAGTTTAAAGTGGGGATGAAGCTGGAGGCCCAGGATCCGAGGAACACCACGTCCACTTGCATCGCAACTGTCGTCGGCCTAACAGGATCAAGGCTGCGGCTACGCTTGGACGGGTCGGACAATAAGAACGACTTTTGGCGCCTGGTTGATTCCTCTGAGATCCAGCCAATTGGCAGCTGTGAAAAGAGCGGAGGGATGTTACAGCCACCCTTAGGTAAAAGTACAAAGTCCTTTCCAATTTGCAGGGCTTTTATGGTTTGTCCTCTAGATGTCAGTAACTGCATTATGGTTCTGTTTATGAACAAGCCTGCACTATCCTTTCTGTATAGACTTAGAAAAAAAAACACAACCTTCTTTAGTCTATTTGTTTCTGCTGTGCAGTGATACTTTTAATTAGTAGTTCCTGTTCTTCTTCCTATTAACTAAACCTTCAGGTTTTAAAATAAAAAATTAAAATCTGTGACCAGTGTCTTGAAACCAACTGAAGCAGGTCAAATATTTGTCTCTTTACAGGCTGAATAAAGTACAAAAGAAAGCAATCTTTTGTTAAAACTCACCCGGTTTTCTGATTATTAATTTAATTCGGGCTCTTATCGACCTTGTAGTTTGCCATTCATTGATCGAATGAGGCAGTGCAGATGTCGTTCAATCTTTAAAACCATTTTCTCTTTCAGGTTTCCGTCTAAATGCGTCTTCCTGGCCCATGTTTCTGCTGAAAACGCTAAATGGTGCTGAAATGGCTCCCTCTCGCATTTTCCACAAGGTATCTGTACAAAGCTCAAAAATCTTAATAGTCAGGAAAAACATTGTGAAGCACAAGCTAAAGTTATTTCTTATTCATCAGGATCTCTTGTTTTAAAAGTAGAGGAGATGCTGTTAACTGGAATTAGACCATTTTAATGTGGATAAGTTCTAACTGGTAGTCAGAAGATCTAGAAAACTATGTTTCAAATCACTGAATGCTACAAACATAACAAACATATTTAAGATTAATGGAGAGAAACGTTTTGGGTTTCAGAAGCACCTGCATTTGCTGCGGCGTGTTAAAAAACATCTATGGTTTATTGAGGCTGCAGGAAAGCCAGAGAGGGCAAATTTTATTATCTCTGTTATGGAATCTATTTGATTTGGAAATATTGACAGCTATTTGGAAATGTTGGAGTCAAAACTGAGATCTTTGTCCATAAAATGTACATGGTGACATCAAGTTTAATAACCCTAGCACCAATGCTGCTACTGATTATTAATATAAGATGTTTAGCAGAATAAAAAGATAAATTCTGTACTTTTTTTTCTATTTCTGATATCAGTAAAATCCTGTTTTCTATCATTTCTCTTTCATCATTGCTTTCCTTCTGCCTCCAATGTAGAATTACTAAATACTCAGCAGGAAAGTAAGAAAATAATTTGCAATTTTTTTATCTTCCTACATAAGTTAAAAAAAATAAAATAAAATAAAACAAATGTCCATAGAAAGGTCAAAATTTCTCACTAAGAGCTGAGATCTCAGATCAGTGGATACATTATGGTCTGGACTTTATATCCTCTATCTGACCCTGTCTGTGTTTCTCTCCTTCCTAGCAGGAGCCTCCCTCCCCAGAGCAGAACTCCTTCCAGGTGGGAATGAAGCTGGAGGCGGTGGATCGGAAAAATCCACACTTCATCTGTCCGGCTACAGTCGGTGCGCTGCGCGGCGTCGAGGTGCTGGTCACCTTCGACGGATGGCGCGGGGCCTTTGATTACTACTGTCGCTACGATTCGCGGGACATATTTCCTGTTGGCTGGTGCGCCCTGACTGGAGACAACCTTCAGCCACCTGGCACAAAAGGTTTGGACCTCAACTATTAAGGAGCTTTTCTTTTCTTTGTTTTCAGAGTTAAGGAGATAAATAATAAGATATTTATATGGAAGACTTTCATCTTGGAACCGTGGTCCTCCATAAATAATCAGACTAGCAAAAATAAAAGAGTAAGGTTGAATTTTTTATTATTATTATTTGATAAACTTGGGGGGGGGGGGTTATTTAGTAAAAGGTAGGGGTGTAAATCACACCCATCATGGGCGATTTGATCCAGTATCAATTTCCTTACCCAATGATTCGATTATTCTCGATACTCAAGAAAACACCACGATACGATTCAATTCGATTAATTGGTCTTTTTTTTTACCTTACAGGCTAGACAATGTTTAAAATTTGAAATAAATCAATGAAAGCTGTAATATCGTTATGCATTTTATTTGAGAAACATCTGCATATAACAGAAGTAGCAAAGTTGTACTCTACCTATGAAAACCTCATTCACTGAGGAATAATAATGCCTCTGTGTTTACACAAGTGTGTGTGTGGAAAGAGGGTTGTGGCTAAAGAAAGCAAGGTAGGAGGAAAAAATAGGTTTAGCGCCACCACAGCACGGTGGACTGGAGAAAAAAATTTAAAAAATGAATCGATACTGTTGCGGACATGTTGATGCATCGGATCATCGGCTGTTGGATTTGATACATCGATACAAAACGATTATTATTTACACCCCTGGTAAATGTGAAGTATTTCTATAGGCCCATTTCAAGTCAGGGTCTCCTAATTAGTCACTGTAGGTCAAGTGACAATGACACAATATTTATACATTGAAAATACAGAAAAGTTTGTTTTTGATGGAACTAAATCTCTTCTAGCTGAGTAGGCTGAAAAACATTTTTTTTACAACTGCTAAAGGATTTTGTTGCAACAAATTATTTGCTTAAAGATTTACATGTTTTGACTCTGAACAGACAAAAAATAATATAATCAGCATGCATCGAGGTATTTGAATGACTGAAATACATTTGTGGAAGGTCATTGGTATAAAATGAGAAAAGGACCCAGTGTGTTAATGATGAGAGTAGGGCTGAAACAGTTAATCAGAATAATCGTGATTAATAGATTATTTAAATAATCCTCAACTATTTTAGTAATTGATTAATCATTGAATGGATGATAATGGAGACTCTAAAACATGCCTTAGCTGATAGAGCAACCTATTTAGAGCAGCAGTAATATATAAATATTTCACATTTAAAATAAAAAAAAAAACTTTATTCTATCAGTATGCTCTATCCAGAACTCAACTGGGAAAGTTTTGCTTTCATCTGGTTTAAATCTTTATCCGATTATTAATCAATTAATCGGAAAAATTATCTACAGATAAAGATTTTTAGATTAATCAATAAGTATAATTGTTAGTTGCAGCCCTAGAGGAGAGTCCTGTTCCCTGTGTTGATGTTTACCTGGTTAGACAGATTACAAACTATTTGTTTTTCAGGTGTTCTTTGATCCAGATGATTGGGTTTTTTCCCCAGTTTTTATTGTCATTACACTGTCATAAGTACAGAGCATTGAAATGAACTCTCTGCATTTGACCCATCCCCTTGGGGAGCAGTAAGCTGCAGTTGTGTGGCGCCCGGGGAGCAGTGTGGGGTTAAGGGTTTTATTCAGGAACCCTGAGTGGAGGCTGTGGGGATCAGGTACTTGCAACCTTCTCAGAGCACAAGCGCAATTCTCTAACCACTAGGCCAACTCTCTTCTATATAAATGTAAAGGGCTACACCTCCATTTTCTGGAGATTCTGACAAAATAAGTCAGGCGGATTTTCATTAAATGCATTAGAAAGGTCGAAGATTGTGATCTTCACTGTACTAAGCTGTGCTTAGTTGTTGTTTTGCATTAGTTGAAATGTACTGTGTCGTATGATTGCCTTTAATAAATCTGTAATTTTACCCACTGATTGTAAAAGCTGAGCCAATCACCTGTATAGGCGAGGAGATGTAGCCAAGTTACAGCAATATGGCCCTGCAGTCATTTTTGGTTGTGACTAAAGGGTAACTTTTTAATGTTTGCAGTGCATGGTACCCACCACATCAGTTAAGAGCCCCCACCCCTAACAATTACACACACTCATGCTCAGGACTGGACATTAGGCGATAGAAAAGCTGATGCATATCGCTCGTTGGACTAGCTGCTTAGCTTTCGCTCAGCATCTCCTGACACACCCTCCAGACAGGACAGGGGACTAAAAGGCCTAAGGGACACTTTCCAAAAATGACACATGGTGTGGCAACAGTGATATGTCAAAGAACCCAGCCTAGCAGGGAAAGTAGGTGGTTTTCACCAAAACAGGCAACAAAGGTTTGCAAGCTGATATTGTCATTTTTCAAATAGGGTGTTCTTCATACTAGATAGAATGCAATTCCCTGCTGTGGTGCTAAAACCGTTAGCCAACATCTGGCTTGGGAGCAATCCAGTACCTTCATACTGCTGCAACATTTTTTTTCACTTATTTCTTTCTTTTTATTAAGGGCACGGTTATTTCTTGAGCAAATCTATGTCTTTTAGGTATTTTAAAATGTTTATGCTCATTCCTTGTTTCACTATAGGCAAATATACTTACAGTTTATATATTGGGAAATTTATGTATCAGTGTCGGCCCTCCATATTATTTTACAGGGACATAAATAAGTCACGTAAGACCAGATAAACTAACAGCATAGTTGTTAATATAGTAGGGAAATATGCACCTTTGATTCAGTCTTACAGTTCTCGTACTGTATTATATTTGCTCATGTTTAATGTCCCACTGTGATTGATATGTTGCTGTCTTGATTCATATGCTGGGGCAGAACAGAGCACTGTTTGCATTAGCAACTATCATAGCAACTGGCATTAGCTCAAGTTGTCTAAAAGGTTTAATGTCACTTCACTGAAAATCTAGTTTTTTTAATGAGCTTTTTAAAGTAGAAAAGCTCCTCAGAGATATGCTTTTGCCTTTTGTGTTGTTGTTGAACCCCCCAAAAAAACAGTCAATAGAATTCTGTAAGCTTTGGCTGGAAAAATATTCCCTTTAGTAAGCCCATGTGAGGCATGTGCATCCCCTTACATGTCCTTATACAGTATCTTTGTTCTTCCGTAAAGTTCTCTGATCTAACAATGTCTGTAATTGTTAACAGAAAGCATGCTAACACTCCTGGGAAGAGGCACAGATATCCTGACTTCTCTTTAACTTGTTCATAGACAGCTTTCTGAAATCCTTTGCCTCACTGATCCAAACTTAAAACCAGGAGTACCTTGAACTGAAATTCTACCTTTCCATTTTTCTCATCACATGGCCTTGCTATATTGTGAAGCCTGGCTTTGGCTCTTTTTTTCACCTGAAAGAAGAAAAGCGGTGCAGCACCTATGACATTGGACTTCATGATAAATTACTTGTATAATGAGGTAATTCCCTGGCTTTTCAAAGCAGTAATATTTTAGAAGTGGCAGCCATGTTGGCTTTTTATAGCTCAAGGCATGATATTCAGCATAGACTTGAAACAATCATAAAGCGGTTTATCGTGTGGGAAACTTCAAAAGGAAGGAGGGACACCAGATTTGTCTGTAACGGGGTGAGCCTTTCTCACCTGTAGAGGCTGCCGCATGTGAAGGAGTGAAATCTGAAGGCAGCCCTCCTCTGTTTTATGAAGGTCTGGCAGCCACCCAGCTGACGTGGTTTGAAACAAGCCCCTCCACAGGCCTCTCTAGCATTCTGGCAACCGCAGTCTGATTAAACACCTAGGAAAGAGTTTCCCCCACAAGAGGAGTTGGAGGCAAAGAGAAAAGACATGCGAAATCCTTGAAATATGGATTGTTTACATTGTTAGTAGATGGTGGGAGGAGAGAAAACGAAGCAGAGGAAGGAGGAGCAATGAGGAGGAGAGGGAAAAGAGGATCGGGCATCCGGAGAGGGTGAATCTGAGGACATCAGAGCAGACAGACACATCTTTTTCAGGTTTGGTTTGAGCAGCGCGGTGAGTTAATTTAATGAGACTACAACTGAAGTAATGGTGAAAAATACAACTCTTATTTTATAGAAGTGATGTTCCTGTAATCTGATGCTGGCAGTGGAGTCACTGTGAACTCGATGAACTCAAAGAACTTGAAGGAGGAGCTAGACAAGAGGTTTCTTGTTATGCATTCATTCGGCTGTATTTAAAACGTACAATTCATTGTAACCTCAAGCTCTTTACACCTTTAAACATGTTACCAGGAATTTGATCAGTCAGGGATCAATCAGGTGATTTTCTTCCTCTCTTGCTGCTGGTCCCTCCTGAAAAGCAGCAGCCTGCAGACGGCCTTTGCATTGATTGGTGCTGCTGTGTAAAAGCGTTTATTAAATACAGACCCACAGGCCAAGACTTGTGCTAATGAATGTAGCTATATCCCTCCTGAATCTGCCTGTGGTCGATCCAGGCTGAATGTCGGTGCATTTTTGTTTGTGTAGTGTGTTTAATTGCATGTATTTAGGCCCATAGGTTCATTCTTTGGCAGAAATCTTTACTATTCCTCGTTTCCTTCGTTTTTGTCTCTCTTTGGTTGTTTCTGTATGCACAGCACACATTCCTGAAGTTTTGCCAAGTCTGATGGTAAAGTGCACAATTTGTTTAGCTTGTCTTAAGCGTTAAATGTGGACTCTTTTATGTGTCAAGGCTCTGATTTAAATTCTGCCATCATCAAAGGAAGAGTGAGTTCATGGAGAGAAGTTGGAGATTATTTTCAATCCATTGTCACAGTTGACTGAAGCTTTTGTTTTTGCTGGTAATTAAAGTCCTAGAAATTCAAGGCGATCGTAAGTTAGGAATTTTCTTTTGTATCCATCTGTTACTCGGAATGCATCTATCACATTTTTACTTCCTAACTCAATACCTGAATCAGAATATCTACTTTTACTAATACTGTTTGATACCAAAGCTCTTTGTCCTTTAAGGTTATTAACATTATTATGCAATTGCTTTTATTTTCAAGAGGCTGTTTTAAAATTT